ATGTGTAGGGTTGTGTGAAGCACAAATGATATAATATTTGTAAAGTGCTTAGCATAGTGCCTGGAACATAATAGGTGCTTAATAAATACTTACTCCCTCACTCCCTAAATGCTCATACCTCTTCCTCTATCCTTTCCATTCCAAGGGCTACAGGAAATTTTGCCGATTGGGATCTAAACCTAAGTTTGGAAGGGTCCAAGTCAGTCAGATTGAGCCATAGATAGGTTGGGGGTGGGGGGAGGGGGGGGAATAAGCTAGTGGAATAGCCAGTGTGACTTTGGGCTAAACACCCTCTTTAATGGTCAGAAAAAATACACTTCTACTCCTCCTTGACCTTCACTGCAAAAATAGATGGTCCTCTCAATAGTTCCGTTTCCCTCTAGGCCACTATCTGCTTGGGTCAGGGACAAATATTTCTGTTTCTGGTACAGTCCCTCCCCTGGGATTAGTTGCACCGGGAGTTTCCTGGTACCTCCAGAAGAGTGGTTGTGGGTCAGGAGATTTGGGGCTTGTGGAGGTGGCCCCACCCTTCACCCCAGAGGGAAGGAAACATTTGGGGATTACTTGGATATGGAGAACTGGAGATCCTCAGGATGTGGGTAACACCCTGTGGGGTCAGCCTCACCCTCCCTCCAAGCCAAGTTCCTGACTCCACCTAAAGGGCAATTTGTAGTAAGCTGGGATCACCACCTGATACCATCACACATGTTAGGGACATCCCCAAACATCCCTAACTTTCATTATAACCTGCCATGAATCTGTCATCCAGGGATTTACCTAAACCGTCTGGAGCCTGTTTACACTCCCCTTCTGTTTCACCTCTTGGGGAACTAGTTTCCTAAGTTTCTTCCTTGCTGAGTAAAAGCAGGACATCCTATGTGGTTGGTTTTAAAACTGCCTCCTTCAGGTTGCAAGGGGCTCCTAATTCTCCTAAGACCGGGTCCCTTTCCCTGTAGCTTGGAAGGAGCCAAGTCTGGCAGCTAGGTGGTACAGTGGATAGAGGGCTTGGCCTTAGATCAGGAAAACTAATCCTGCCTCAGATACTTACTAGCTGTGTGATCCTGAGCAAGTCACTTAACCTCCCTGTGCCTCAGTTTCCTCAACTGTAAAATGGGGATAAGTACAGTACTGATGTACTCGTGAGGATCTAATGAAATATCTGCAAAGTTAGTGCAGTGCCAAGCACATAGTAAGTGCTTAATAAATGCTTATTCCCTTCCCCTTCCCTAATCTCTAGATTTCGCTCTTAGCCTTTCTCAGTTGATACCTCTTCAGATTGAAGAAGCTTCACCTAGTCTTTCCTCTTGAGGAGAAGTAGAATCCTGGAGTGTTATATATAATCTTAAAATCTCAAAATCACGAATCGGGACAGAATATGCTGGAGCCAGAGAAGACCTTAATGAACACCTAGTCCAAAAATCTCATTTTGCTGAGGAGAGACCTGATGCCCAGAGAGAGGAAGGCTGGTCACACAGTAGATTCGTAACAGAAAAGAGACTAGAACCCAAGTGTCCTAATTCCCAGTCTCTGAGACTCTAAAACGCTGTGATCTTTAAAAAAAAAAATCCAGAATAATCCCCCAATCAGGATGTACCCTAAAAGTCCAGCTTGTTCCTGCTTCTGTCTCCAACTCCCTGTTCCATCTAGCCTGTGTTCTCTTTCTTCAAGCAGCCCCCTCCACCCTTAACTTGAGGAGCCTCAGAAATGCTCTGTTTATAGACTCAGTCAGGATGATGGCTGAGAGCACTTAGAAAAGGGATCTCCAGAAACAGCAGAAGCAGCAGCAGCTCTCTTCTGAATCTGCTTTCCTGTTCTCCTCTCTCATCTTCCCTTTCCCACCCTCTGCCCCAGATATAGATTTTAGGGGAAGAACAAGTGATATTTTCTCAGTGTTGGCATCCAAAACTGGGAGCAGAGTGGTGTGACCCTGAGAATCAGACCAGGAGACATTGCTTTCTACTTCTGTTAAATTAGATGGAACACCTGGAGTGGGGGGCAGGTGGCTAAGGAGGGAAACCTGAGGACTTGACTCTTTGGCTTGTCCTGAGGTTGGGGGCTGGGTAATGAGCTCCTAGCAAGTCTTTTTGGTAATGATCATAAGATCATAGAGAGCTGAAAAGAACCTTGTTGCTCATTCATTTCAGTTGTGTCTGACTCTTTCTGACCCTGTTTGGGGTTCTCTTGGCAAAGATATTGGAGTGATTTGCCATTTGGAAACTGAGGCAAACAGAGTTAAGTGACTTACCCAGGGTCACATAGCTAGTAAGTGTCTGAAACCAGATTTGAACTCAGGAAGATGAGTTTTCCTGACTCCAGACCCAGCATTCTATCTACTGCACCACCCAGCTGCCCCAAAAGAGACCTTAGACGCCATCATTTCCAATCCTCTCATTTTATGGATGAGGAAAGTGAGTCACAGAAAGACATAAGTTACTCAGGGTCACACAACTATTAAGTGCCTAAGGTCTTCCCAACTCTAATACAAGAAAAGGACCCTGGTTCTAGTCCTATCCTGGCCACATGTCCTTAGACAAGTCATTTCTTCCTTCTAGACTCTACTTTCCTCATTTGTAAAACAGGAATAGTAATCCTTCAAAACACTCATCCATCATCTATGAGCATTTATTAATTGACTACCATGTGCTAGGCACTAAAGATATAAAGGCAAAAAGGAAACTGCCTATACTTTCATGGAACTTACTTTCAACATAGCAGACAAAATATATATATGGAAATATGCAAAATAAATCATAAGTAATTGGAGAGAGTGGGGGAGGGAGAGAAGCATTAGCAGCTGGAAGGATGAAGAGAAGCCTCACGGAGGAGACATCATTTGAGCAGAGTTTTGAGGGAAGCTTTGGAAAATACGGTTTTTCACACTGGTGAGTGAGTATTATTCTAACGACAACCCAAAGGTGCTCCGTCAGATGGTAGGAAGGAAGATAACTTGCAGGAGAAGGGAGTGCTCTTCTCAGGGCTTCGGAGCCCCCGGAATGCTTCTCTGTGGTCAGGGTGGGCTGGCTTCTGAGGCTCCAAAACCCTGATCCGTCCAGTTTGGTCAAGCTGGCAGCTGTGGCTTTTCCGGGGGCCCAGACTAAATATATGATAGTAGTCATTTAGGACTCCCTTACAGAAGCCTTCAAACCTACAATTTGGTGCCAGTGAGTCTGATGTTTGTAACCGGTGGGACAGGAGTTTGGGGGAAGGGTAGTTCCTCAGAGGAATGGCACCCAGCAGTCAGATTCTCCGGAGAAGGCTCTGGATCATAGTTTCTGCCCTGGACTCTATTGTCTGCAATGGGTAGCTAGCCAGAGAAGGAATCAAACATAGGGAGAGCCCTACATTAGATTTGGGGATCCCAGTCAGTATCCATTTCACAGACAGTGCATGCACATGGCTATTCCCCATCTTCTTTTTTTCCTTTTTCAACCCTTTAATACTCTCCTCTTCAGTTACTGAGAACAATTTCCACCCACCCACACCCACACCCCCTTGCAGACCCTTTATGAAGCCTGTTATAGGCAACACGGGATGGTGGCTAGACAGTTGGCTTCCAAGCCAGGAAGGCCTGGATACAAGGGCAGCCTCTGACACTTGCTACTGTGGGACCCAGGGTGAGTCACAATCTCTCAATGCTATTGAAGGAAGGAGTCTTCTGTACTATGGAAATTACTATCCGATCTCTTTTTCACCATCCTGCTTTCATCACTTGTCCTATTACAGTCTTTATGCAGAAGTATGTACTGAGAGTATCTGGTTAAACCTGGACCAAATTTAGAGAATAGTATAGTGCTGTTCAAAACCTTTAGAATCTTTAGGTCCAGCACAGGATAAACAAGATAAACCCTCACCTAGGTAGAACTAGACAGATTGGTTTTCTTTACTTTTCAGACTCAACCAAAGAAGTGTTTTAAAAGCTTCTTGCTTTCAGGCACTTGAAAACAATTGAAAAACCAATTGTTTGTTCTGCTTATCACAAGTTAGAGGCAACTTGGCCTTCACATTGTACTCCATCAGCTCTCTTTCCAAGAATGTTGGTATGATACTCTGATTGATTCTGAATGACCATAAATGGCTGCCTGACTTGAGAAGGCTGGGCCTGAGCTATCTGCATATTGTCCCAATGGAGTTTTCTCCTCCATTTGGTGCTCAATAAATGTTTGAATGAATTTTGGGCATAACATACAGATGCATAGATTTATGCTGCCTTAGGAGTCAAGCAAGAAAATAAAGAATTAACTTTAGCTCACATTCCTGAGGTCATCCAGGATGGTACTGAATTATTGGGGAGATTTGATTTACACCAGTCACCGATTACTGCCTTCGCTTCCCACAACCCAATTTTGGTCCACAACACTGAACAAGGATAGAGGAGCATAAAGGCATAGGGGACATGGTAGGGGGCTGGGCCTAGAAGTAAAAAAAAAAAAAAAGCATCAGGGACTTCAAGACCAACACTCTTCTCCCCACATCACTTATTTGCTGTCTACTGGCATAAAATCTTCAATGAATTAAATGAATTGGCTTTTCGGGTGATGACCCACCCATGACCTGGTCTGACTTGAAGTCAGGGGCCATATCTTTATTTCAGTTTATCTCCCTACATTGAACAATGGTGTTCTATTTATAAACAACTCTAAATAGATTAACCAGTAGATATTTACTGAATACCTACTACTTGAGTCCTAATATGTTCCAAGTGCTGAGAGAGACGACGATGACAACAAAAAAGACAAGAGAGTCACTCTGGAAAAGATTGAGGTGTACTTGACTGTCCCAGAAAGAGGACCATAGGATTATAGCAACAGAAGAAGAACTAAGCCTGGTTTCATTAGCCTATACTCCAGTCATTGAGCTGACTCTATCTAGAGCCCAAGTGAGAGACAGCGAAGAGATGGAGGAAAGAATAGCTTTCTTCAGGATATAAATTTATTCCCCTTCCTCTTTTACCATTTTGACTTCTCTTCCTTCTTTTTTTTTCATCTCTCCTTTCTTTCCAGAAAATCCCACGGGCCCCATCTGATGAGGAATGTTTCTTTGACCTACTGAGTAAGTTTCAGAGCAACCGGATGGATGACCAACGCTGCCCCCTGGAAGAGGGCCAAGCTGGGGCAGCTGAGGCTAACATCCCTACTTCCACCCTGGAGGAAAGAATATGTAAGTAGGAAATCAGGCTGAGGGAGGAATTAGGGTCGTGGAACCATAGGATCTAGAGTTACAGAATGTTGGAGCTGTCAGAGACCTGAAGCGTCATCAGACCCCTCATTTTACAGATGGGGAAACAGAGGCCAAAATTCCAGAACTGGATTGCCAAGGTGACAGATTTATTCAGTGAAAGATCTAGAACTAAAACTCAAGTTTCTTCATTTCTAGTCTGTTGTTTATTCCACTAATCTGGGCTGTTTCTCAATCCATTATTTCATTTCTGGGCAGAAGTATTTCTGCCCCAAAGATATCAGAATCTTCTCTCAGTGAGTCTAATTTGAACTGGACCAAACTGGGAAGCTTACCTGGGGGACTGGATTCAAAGGCTCCTGGCCTCAACCACAACAACATAGATGTTTTCATCCATGTGGATGGAGGCAGCATCAGCACCAGAGATTCTGAGACGGGGGATTAAAGAGCTAGGGAAAGGGCAGGCAGATGGGTGAATCATGCAATCTTGCTTTTCCCTTTGCTGATTAGAGGACTATAATTACAACTGGTTCCTTGTAATCATTGGGTGTCTGTTAACCAGGTTGTGTATGTGCAGAACAGAAAGCTGCTCGATTTGCAAAGAAAGAACCCATGCAAATCAATTGCAAAGGGCTTTTTGAAAGTAATATCACATCCCTCCCCCACCCCCAACCCATCCCCCATATCCTAAAGTTAGGCTTAATAATGGGGAAAAGCATGTAATTACCTTGTTCCCTACCCCCCCAGCCTTGCTGGCACACTCCTACAATCAGGGCACAGGAGACATATCCCTGGAGCATGTGTGGGAGGAGAAAGGCCATCCCTCTCTGTCACCTTCTGACAGGCTAAGGAGCTGGGGCCAGGGGACACACAGATGTGCTGAGATTCCCAGTGAACCCAGATGGAAAAGCAACTCTGGTTTTGCACACACAGTTGCAAGGGAAATTATCACTATTTCAACAGCTGTAGGGAATATCCTTTGTCCATGCATTCACGTGAGTGTGAGGAGAACAGAATAAAGCTAACTGGCCCACTCTGGGATTGAACTCATGACCTTCACTTTATGTCTGCTGCCCTTTTCCTCCCCTCCTCACTAACCATTGAAGAAACCTTAGTTGACACTTGAAAATTCTGCAGCAGGTCATGAAGGTACCTGTCTCAAAGAGGCCTTTGAACCCAGCCCCCTCGGTTCCCAATTCTGAAACTCCTGTGGGGAGTAGAGCCAATATGACTGAGACAAGAAGATTGACCGAGTTCAGGAGAGATACCAGGGTGAGACTCCTGACACCTGCCTGGGCCCTCTCTGTGGCAGAGGCACTGATCCTGGGAGATCAATGGGGTGATAGGATAATGCCTGTTTGGCAAATATTCTTGTGCTATCTAGATTTCCCTAAAACTGAGCCTTTTTGGATGGCATAATGGAAAGAACATTTGGCCGGGATTCAGGAAACCTAGGTCATAGACCCATCTGTTCTACTGATTTGAATAAGCCCCTCCTCCCCTCTGTTTCTCAGTTTCCCAATCTGTAAAATTGAGACAGTGATCTTAGCCCTGCCTACTTCAGAAGGTTCTGGTGACTCCAAGTGAAGCCAAGAATACGAAAGTACTTGAGAAAAGTTTAGAGTTGGAAGCTCCAGGAAGGGTCCAGCCAGGGCGGAGCCTTCCCTGCTTCATTCACTTCTTACGGTTGTATCTCTCCACCAGCTCAGTCATCCTTGATGGCCTCCCCTCAGACAGAGGAGTTCTTTGACCTCATTGCCAGCTCCCAGAGCCGTCGGCTGGATGACCAGCGTGCCAGTGTGGGCAGCCTGCCGGGCCTTCGGATCACCCATAACAACTTGGGCCACCTTCGTGGGGAGGGGGATGCTCAGGAGCCCGGAGATGAATTCTTCAACATGCTTATCAAGTGCCAGGTAGGATCATAAGATAATAAATAGATTTAGAACCAAACAGGGCTTTAGAGATATCTAGACCAGGGACTCTTAACTTTTTCTGTGTCATAGATCCCTTTGGCTATTCAGAAAAATGTACTTGCCCCTCTGGAAATAACATTTTTATTTAATTATTTTTAAATTAATAGTTTTTTCCAATTACATGTAAAAACAATTCTTTAACATTAGCTATTTTTTTTTTAAATTTTGAGTTCTAAATTTTCTCCCTCCCTCCCTCCCTTTTCTCTCCCCTTCTTAAGAAGGCAGACAATTTGATATAGGTTATACATGTGCAGTCATGCAAAACATATTTCCATATTAGCCATCTTACCAAAAAAAAAAAAAAAACCACAAGAGGCAGCTAGGTGGCACAGTAGATAGAGCACTGGCCCTGGAGTCAGAAGACCTGAGTTCAAATCTGGCCTCAGACACTTGACATTTACCAGCTGTGTGATCCTGGGCAAGTCACTTAACCTAGATTGCCTCACCAAAAAAAAAAAAAAAAACCACACACAAAAAACCACAAATAAACAAAAAAAAGAGAAAGAAAGGAAAATAAAAAGTATGCTTCAATCTACACTCAAACTCTATCAGTTCTTTCTCTGGAGGTGGATAGCATTTTCCATCATAGGTTCTTCAGAATTGTCTTGGATCATTTTATTGCTGAGAATAGCTAAGTCATTCACAATTGATCATCATACAATATTGCTGTTACTGTGTACAATGTTTTCCTGGTTCTACTCACTTCATTTTGCATCAGTTCATGTAAGTCTTCCAGGTTTTTCTGAAGTCCACCTGCTCATCATTTCTTATAGCACAATAGTATTCCATCATAATCATATACCATACACAACTTGTTCAACCATCTACCAATTGATAGGCATCCCTTCAGTTTCCAATTCTTTGCCCCATAAAAAGAGCTGCTATATTTTTGTACATATAGGTCATTTTCCATTTTTTTCCCCAATCTTTGGGATACAAACCTAATAGTGATATTGCTGGCTCAAAGGGTATATGCCCTTTGGGCATAGTTCCAAATTGCTGTCCAGAATGGTTGAATCAGTTCACAATTCTACCAACGGAGAATTAGTGTCTCAATTTTCCCACATCCCCTTTAACATTTATCATTTTCCTTTTCTGTCATGTTAGCCAATATGATGGGTGTGGAGTGGTACCTCAGAATTGTTTTAATTTGCATTTCTCTGATAATAGTGATTTAGAGCATTTTTCATATGACTATAGATAGCTTTGATTACTTCATCTAAAAACCTTCTGTTCATATGCTTTGACCATTTATCAATTGGGGAAAGACTTGTGTTCTTTTCCTTGTGTGTGTTTGTTTTTGTTTTTGGTTTTGTTTTGTTTTTTGTATGTGTGAGGCAATTGAGGTTAAGTGACTTGTCCAGAGTCACACAGCTAGTGAGTGTTATGTGTCGGGGGCTGGATTTGAACTCAGGTCCTCCTTACTCCAGGGCCAGTGCTAAGACTTGTGTTCTTTTAAATTTGACTCCATTCTCTATATATTGGAGAAGTGAGGCATTTATCAGAGCAACTTGCTGTAAAAATTTTTCACAATTATGATTACTGTGTGTTTCACTCTATCCCATTCCCCGCCCCTGTTTTTCCTACTGTCTCTCTCCTGTCACCCTATCTTCAAAAGTGGTTTGCTTTTGACTGGCACTTCACCAACCTACCCTCCCTTCTATCAGCCCTTCCCCTTCTCTTACCCCTTTCCCCTCCTACTTTCCTATATGGTAAGATGGATTTCTATACCCAACTCTGTGTGTGTGTGGTATTCCCTCTTTGAGCCATTTCCAGTGAGGGTAAGCTTCAAGTGCCTCTCCTCCCCCTGCCTCCTCCATCTTCTCCTCCACTGTAGAAACTCTTTCATGTCCCTTTTATGTGAGATAATTTACCTTATTCTACCTCTCCCTTCCCTCTTCTCCCACTGCATTCCTCTTTCTTACCCCTTAATTTAATTTTTTTAGCTATCATTCCATCATATTCAATTCACACCTGTGCTTTCTATGTATACTCCTTTTAACTGCCCTAATAATGATAAAGTTCTTAGGAATTATAAGTATCATCTTCCCATGTAGGAATATAAACAGTTTAGTCTTATTGTATTCCTTGTGATTTCTCTTTACTATTTACTTTTTTACGCTTCTCTTGAGTCTTGTATTTGAAAGTCAGATTTTCTATTCAGCTTTGGTCTTTTCATCAGGAATGTTTGAAAGTCCTCCAGTTCATTGAATGTCTGCTTTTCCCCCCCCCAAGGGATTATACTCAGTTTTGCTGGGTAGGTGATTTCTTGGTTGTAACCCTAGATTCTTTGCTTCCTGGAATATCATATTTTAAGCTCTCTAGTCCTTTCACGTGAAAGCTGCTAAATTTTGTATTAACTGTCTCTGGCCCCACAACATTTGAATTGTTTCTTTTAGGCTGCTAGCAATATTTTTTCCTCAATCTGGGAGCTCTGGAATTTAGCTATAATATTCCTGGGAGTTTTCATTTTGAGATGTCTTTCAGGGGGTGATCAGTGGATTTTTTCCATTTCTATTTTACAGTCTTGTTCTAGAATATCAGGGCAGTTTTCCTTGATAATTTCTTGAAAGACAGTGTCTAGGCTCTTTCTTTGATCATGGCTTTCTGTTATCTCCCCTTGATCTATTTTACAAGTCAGTTCTTTTTTCCAATGAGATATTTCACATTTTCTTCTATTTTTTTTTTCATTTTTGTGATTTTGTTTTATTGTTTCTTGATGTCTCATGGAGTCATAAGCTTCCACTTGCCCAATTCTAATTTTTAAGAAATTATGTTTTTCAATGAGTTTTTGTACCTCCTTTTCCACTTGGCCAATTCTACTTTTTAAGGAGTTCTTTTCTTAAGTGAATTTTTGTACATCTTTTCCCACATGGCCAATTTTGCTTTTTAAGGAGTTCTCTTCATTGAATTTTTGTGTGTCCTTTACCATTTGACCTATTCGGTTTTTTAAAATGTTTTCTTCAGTATTTTTTGTGCCTCCTTTCCTGTTGACTCTTTTTTTCATTACTTTCTTGTATCACTCATTTCTTTTCCCAATTTTTTCTCTACCTCCTTATTTGAATTTTAAAATCCTTTTTCAGCTCTTCCAGGAATTCTTTTTGGGCCTGAGACAGTTCACATTTTTCTTTGAGGCTTTATGTTGTAGCAGTTTTGTTGTCTTCTTCTGAGTTTGTGTTTTGCTCTTCCCTGTCACCATAGTAACTTTCAATGGTCAGATTCTTTTTTTCTTGTTTGCTCATTTTCCCAACCAATTTCTTGACTTTTCACTTTATATTAAAGTTTGGGTTCTGCCCCTTGGATGGAGGGAATACTGTCCCAAGTTTTAGGGTTTTTGTGCATCTGTTGTCAGAGCTAATTATGGATGTTTGTAAGTTTTCAGTTCTTCCAAGATGGTATGATTTAAGGAGAGGTGTATTTACTACTCTCCTGGCCTGTGCTCTGGTCTATGAGTGACCACATGCTGTGTTTTCCACCCTAGAACTATGAACAGGTCTCTGCTTCCTTATGGCCAAAAACTCGGGTGCGCTAGTGCTTCTTCTTACTCTGAGACTGTGACCCTGGTCCATATATGGGCAATGCAACAGAGTCCTGCACCCAGTGCCAGCAGAGGAACCCCTCAGTTGTCCAGTCCCCTTACTGTCTGTGGTCTGAGAGCTTTGGAAGCAACTGCTGCTGATTCAGTTACCCCCAAGGCCTGCTGCTGGCTTGCCAGGGTGTTCCATGCACCTATGTAGCAGACCTTTCCTGCCAACCTTCTAGGTTGTCTTGGACTGGAAAATTATTTCACCCCATCCTTTTGTCGGTTCTGCTGCTCTAGAATTCATTTTAAAGAATTATTTTAAAGTTGTTTGGAGGGGAATTTGGGAGAGCTCAGGCAAGTCCCTGCCTTCTCTCTGACATCTTGGGTCTGCCCTCTAGAATAACATTTTTAAATGTGTAGAACTACAAAGAATACCAATTATACTGAAATATAATTTTAAAAACATTTAAAAAGCAAGTTCATGAACTCCAGGTTATGAATCCCTTGATCTAGTCCAATACTTACTCATCTGAAAGATAAGGAAACTGCAGTTAAGTTACTTGTCTGGGGTCAAACAGCTAGTAAGTCTCTGATGGCCAGATTTGAACTCAGATCTGACTCTAGCGCTAATCTACTGCACCACCAGCTTCATGGGATTCATATTTGGGTCCCCCAATTCCAGTTCTAACAGTCCCCTGTACTATGCAGCAGTGTAAAGAGGTCCTGGAAGCTAGCTGGAAGAACCCTTTGCCCCACTTCTCCCTTCTTCCTCTTATCCCATAGGTCTTGGATAAAGGGACTCATTCACAACAGCTAGTGTACATTGGCAAGAGGATCTTGAACAAGCAGAGAACAGGGTAGGCAAGATAAAGATATAGGAGGTAAATCAATCAATCAGCATTTAGGCAGTATCTTTGCTGCTAGTTACATGACCTTGAGTATGTCTTTACCCTTCTCAGCATCAGTTCTACTATATTTAAAATGAAAAATTGGGGCTAGATGAGCTTTAAAATCCCTTTCTATGATCCTATGGACCATCTCCAATTATGACGTTACATGCTTAAAATGGAAACAGCCCTATTATGGGTAGTGTGGCTTGCCATCCTATGGGCCATCAAGGCAGAAAGTGATTTTAGAGGTCATTTGATCCCACTTCCTCATTTTAAATATGGAGTGTGTTATAGGAGCGATAGTCATGCATTCTTAACTTCCCAGGATTGTTCTGATTTCTAGAAAAGAAAGTGTACTTTTACGAGGCTTTGAGAAAGGAATGTCCTTGTCAGACAGTGTGTTTGGAAAAAATGATCTCCATAGCCCTCGTGGATTAATCCATTCTGGCTCACAGGAAAATAAGAACTTAGAATTGGAAGGGACCATAGAAACCATCTAGTTCAGGTGTTCTTAGCTTTTTTGTGTGTGACATGGACCCCTTTGGCACTCCAGTGAGATCTATGGATCCTTTCTCAGAATGGTTTTAAATGCATAAAATAAAATACATAGTGTTACAAAAGAAACTAAGTATACTGAAATATGGTTATAAAAATATATTTTTTAGAAAGTTCATGAACCCCAGGTTAGATCCCTTATTCTAGTCCAACCACATCATTTTGTAGAGGAGGAAATTGAGGCCCAGAGATAGCAAGGGACTTGGCTAGTTACCCATTCAACAAGCATTTACTAGCACCTGCTGTGTTCTTGGTTCTGCAACAAATTATGTTTTGGGGAAGACAAAGAAGGAGGAGACACAATGCTTCCCCTTGTAGAACTCATAGTCTCATTGGGGAGATGAGAGACACACATGGAAAATTCGAAAGACAGGCCAAGAGCACAGGAGAGACTACAAGGCAGGCTGTGCTAAAAACCCCAAGTCGAAGTCCAAGCAAGTCCACAGAGAGACGTCCTTGTCCCAGCCTGTTCTCTGAAAAGCCACAGAGCGAAAAGGTCTGTTAGGATAAATAGAAGCAATAAATGCTTTAGGAACTCAGAGGAGCAAATGGTTCCAGGTATATTAAAATTCCTGCCCCTATGAAATTTACAGTCTCCCTAGGAAAGATAAAGTTAACGTACTTAGAATAATCAGAGAGCAATAAAGATAGTCCATAATGATTTGCCAAACTTCCCTAAGAGCTCAAGGAAAAGAATCATTGCGGGTTAGAACAGTTAAGGCAGGCTTCATGGGGCAGAAGCAAATTTTCCCAAGTGCCTTTTATGTGCCTAGCCCCCATGTTAGATGCAGTAGAAGATACAAAGATGAGTAAGCCACAGTGTTTCCCCTTACGTGATTCAATTAGGTAGGATTCGGATAGTTGGAGAGGGAGGAAGAAGAAAGCTGTCCCAGGCAAGGAGAACAGCAGAAACCAGGAAAGAACAGCTGCGGAGATAGGAATCATAGGTTTAGACCCAGAAGGAAAAGAAATGGGGAAGAAAGGAAGGTTCTACTACATTTGGCTTTCTGAAAAAGATTGTGACATGTCAGGGTCTGCTGGCTTAAGCTGGCAATTATGGAGGGCAGGGCTATGTTCCACCAGGCACAGAATTCATTCATTTCAACAGAAAATAAACAAACTAATAAAATACAAGTTTCAGCAAGCCAACAGAGGAACCCCTGTGGCCCAAACTTATTTCAGAAAAAAAAAAGAGGGGAGGAAAAAAAATAGAAAAAAAAATTCTAGAAACAAAGAAACCCAGATGCGTTGAATCATGAAATCTACATATGTAAATGCTGCCTACTTAAATTTTCCTCATCATACTAAGTCAATATGAGGCCCCCTGGGATCCTTATGCAGGGGTTAGGGGCCTCCATTTCTATTTGCTTGACACCACTCCATCCACTGAACCACACTGCCTCATTGTCAAAGTTGCACATTAAGATAGATGCAGTAAGTTAGTTTAGTCAGGACTAGAACCCTGGTCCTCTGAATGTCCTTGGACTCAAGTCTGGTGTGCCATGTAGCTTTGGGGGTGATCCCCCTCATACCTGGCTGCCCCACCGCCATTTGGACGTCAGTGAAGTGTGAGCACTACCTTTTTCCATCATGGACAATTTATGCTGAGGTTGCAGGAGGCCCCAGGGCGGGAGCTGTCCATAAATTATGCTTAGGGAGAGCCAAGCTAAGCCCAGAGGACAAGCAAAGCCCCTCATCTCCAGCTGTCAGGTTTGGGCTCTGGGATGAAACACCATCAATCCTGTCCCTGATGCAGCTCTCTCAAACCGGATAAATGGGGTTAGATAAATGAGGAGTTCTCTTCCTGAAACCCTGGCTCCATTCTTCTCTCGATGTTTATTTCTTTCACTGTCTAGCTGCTCTCCAGTTATGACGTTACATGCTCAAACAGCCCTATTATGGGTAGTGTGGCTTGTGGGAAGTTTTAGCTCTGGTAATATAGTTTATATTGGCTGGACCCCCTCTGGTGACTGTGTGGAAGGATGTTTTTGAGAATGCCCAGGTACTCCTAATTGTGTAAGATGATGGATCCATTTAAAATAGTAACAAACTTCACTGGCCCCTGTGATTTAAAGGACACACAAAGGAGGGGAAGACCCACCCCACCTACATCTGGGTTCCTAAAGTTCCACCATTAAGAGATTCATTTTACTAAGTGTTGAAAATGTTTAAGCATACCTGGTAAAACTTCCCCGGGGAAGGGTAATACCATCCACCATTATGAGCCACTAATTTAATTAATTCCTCAAGAGGAATTTTGACATGACAGAGATGAGAGAGAGGCATGTAGGTGCTAGGGAGGGGAAGAAGGAGACAGGAGTATCGGTATGGCAGGAGTCCCAAAACAAGAGGTGGAAAGTACCAAAGATGAACTTTGCCAACTTCACAATTTTGCTCAGGACTAGCCCTTATGCCTTCTAGAGTCTAAAAACAGTTCCTATTGTTTGCTACCCACAATGGTCCATGAATTGACTGCCCTTCTCATTCTGAGCTACAAAATTTGGAGTATTGCAATTTTGTCACAAGAAGATAAGGGACATAGAACCCTACTGTATAAATGACAATCTAATTAGAACAGATTACAATAATTAAAATACCTTACACTTATAAAGAAAGGGCTTTGTAAATCTGTATATGCTATACATATGTTAGTAGTTGTTGCCATTATTATCAGATTGGTTGACAGTCACCTAGCAGAGAGCAAGGTTTCTAAGGGGAATGGGAAATGGAAGGGTGAATTTTGATAGGGAGAATGGGGCTCAACAAAGACCTGAACCTATCAGGGGAACCCAGCCCAAACTGTGTACAGTAGTTTTGTTTTGTTTTATTTTGTTTTGATGACCCCAGCTTCATAATAGCGAAAAAGAGAAGTAGAGTGAGTGACCACTGGAGTCCAGAACCATGATTCAAGATTGGTTTCTGATGTTTCCTCTACTGATGAAGACCACAAATTGAATATAAATTAAATATTAAGTTAATTAATAATTAAATATTAAGCAGAGAGGTAGCACAGTGGATAGGGCACTGGGCCTGGAGTCAGAAAGACCTGAATGCAAATCCAGCCTTAGACACTTACTAGCTGTGTGACCCTGGGCAAGTTACTTAACCTTTGTCTACCTCAGTTTCCTCAACTGGGAATAATATTTAAACATTAAATCAAGTTAAATATTAGATTGCCCACAACTTGAATCCAAGGCACCTCTGGGGAAGGAATGTGAATGTTCTTGCCATATTTCATGTGAGAAGAAAGGCAGGAAAGCTGGTCAATTCATGAGGCACACACTACCTTGCTCTGTGTTTTCTCTGCATTCATGACTCAGTATAAATATACATGTGCTTAAAGGTCAGCCTCAGAGAGAATTCTATTAGGTTATTACTGAGTATTAGTCATCTGTGTGGCACAAAAGGAAGAGGAGCCCTGGACACCAGAAACAAACAAAAAAAACCCAAGTTTTACCAGCACCTGCCCGAGTGTAAAGTGTGTGTGCCCAGGTGAGGAGTGTCTTTAACTGTGCCTTTATTTCCTTGCTTTGGTACAGTCCTCCAGAATAGATGACCAGCGCTGTGCCCCACCTGACACGGTGCCCCGTGGCCCCACCATGCCAGATGAAGACTTCTTCAGCCTCATACAGAGGGTACAGGCCAAGCGGATGGATGAGCAGCGAGTGGATCTTGCCTCTGGCCAAGAGGAGGAAGCGGCCAGCATGCGGTCAGATACCCCACAGCAATGCCGGCCCAGTGCCAGCTAAGGCCCTCCATTGGAGGACACCCCAGGACAGGTGCAGCTGGAACACACCTGTGCATCCCTGAGCCCTCACCTAGGATCTGGGGAAAGAGAGACCTTCTTACTTTCTTCCGCCTGTCTCCAGGCACTAGGGGAAACCACCAACCATGTGCAGATCCTCTTGTCCCAGGAGAGGCCAAGAAACTCCAGTGGACATATGGCTGAGCTTGACAAGGTGATGGCTAGTCACTGGAACCCCAAATAGATGTGAACAGCTGGCTCTTCTTACCATAGCCTCAGAGGGCATTTCCTGGGGTCAAGGGTAGATGTCTCGGGAGACAGCATATGCTAGAATCTTACAAGGGAGTGACTAGTCCTCTCCTTCACCCTGTTGAGCCCAAAAATCCCAGACTAAGTATGGTGAAGGATGGGCCCCTCCCTGTGCAGATGGCCCTGTCCCTGCTGCTTTCCCTGACCTGGTATATGAGTAGCAAGAGGCAGGCAGAAGCTGCCTTGACAAAGCAGCCAAGCTGGCCCTAGCTCTCTGCCCAGCTAATCCCCTTTTGCCGCTCGTCCCCTCGGCCCAACCTCCAACCATCCCACCGAGACCAGAAACCAGAAACCTGACAAAGTGCAATATAGTATCAGCCCCCTCTGAGCCATCTGTGCCCCTCAGCTCACCAGGTTCCTCTCCTGTCCCTGAGTAAGTGTGAACCCACTGGGCATGCCAACAGTGGAGATTCACCAGAGGATTCCCGTATCATAACGAAAATCTTCTCCCAAGGAGCCTCAGGACTAAGGTGTGGAAGACATTTCTGTCCAGTTCATAGTCCACGTGCTAGGTGTGTACCCACTGAGGGTCATTGGCTAAGTGATGGTGCAACCCTCAGGCATCCATTCCAGGTCTGAATCAACAGCCAAAGGACTGTCCGCAGCTTCAAGCCTGGACTCCTTCCTCCCATCTCCTCTGTGGTTGTCAGTTTTCCCAGCATCCATTTGAACTCCCCAGGAGCCAAGAGCAGCAAAAAGAGGGTCCCCCACCAACAGGGCATTATTGGTATTGCCAAGATAGTGGACAGGAAAAGATGGGGACAGAGGAGAGACATCCCCACCAGCAGCCTAGCAGTACTGCCAGTTCAGCCATAGAACTGTAAACCCCTAGAGTGGGTGGTGGGATGTGGATTGATAGGGCCTGGGTAGGTGTCATGTGACAGTCATGGGGGCAGGAGGCAAAGACCAGTGCACCATGCCTTTCCAGGTTATTAGGATGCCTTCATGAGTCTCCTTCCACCAGCTAGGGTCCACTGTCCTAGCATTGGTCAGGACTGCTTCCTTACCCACTGCCCCTGAGTCTTATTCCCCAGGAGTGTGGAGCTGAGTGGTCCAAGTAGCCTGGACCTGTAAGGACTTAGTTCTTCAGCTCCTAAAGCAAGAGTGGAACATGAAGGCACTGCTGGAGGAAGGGCTGCTTCTGGCTTCAATTTTTTTTTTAAGCTTGGAAAAGGAGCCCACATCAACATCCATCCAGTTTAAACACTGGACTGTGATAAATCCAGGCAGTGTTTTCAAAGCCCAGGAATGCAAACGCAGCTGGTACTCTGTTTATCCATTACCCCTGGTGTTTGTGGGTTCCTCTGACTTTCAAAGATATTCATCTGTTGCCCAAACTCTTGGAAGGTCTAGTTGGGGCGCAGAAGACTAACCGTGAACTTGGGCTTAAAAGGCTGCTGGCAGATTGAATCTCCACCCGCTCTGTCCTGAGCTCCCAGATCCTCTAGGAAGGTGAATTTAGGCTGAGTTAACTTAGCTCTCCCACAGCAACCCTGGCCCTCCACTCTTCCTAAATCAGCAAGGTCAAGGAAGGGATATGAAATGTGCTCATCCTCTGTGTCTCAATTCCTGTAGTTTTTAAAGGGCATTCTAATTTTCACCCTTGGTTGACTTCGGGGTAAGCATAGAAGTTCTTCATCCTACCAACTTAAAAAAAAAATGAGTCAACTTCCCCTCCGGCTAAATCCCAAGAGGAAAACTGTTGGGTAGAAACAGAGGGAGGATGATTTGGAGTCATAGGGAGAGGAGTTGACTTGTGACCCTGAACCTTCCCACGTGCTCTTCAAAAGGACAGTTTGGGATTTTGACAGCAACTCAGCACTTGCTCCTCAGAGATAACAACAGCTGCAGTTGGTTATTGGCCAAGGCCAGTTCCTTATGCTCCGGGACTTTTTTTTTGCAAATAGCCCCTCCCACTGCTTGGCTCCCAGCGGGAGTGTTTACCTTGACACAGAGATTCTATAAAACAAGAATTCACCCAGGATTTTAAGAAAGCGGCTGACTGGCTCTAGCTGCCCTGGATCAGTTGGGAAAGGCTAGAATGGGCTTTCCTCAGCTGACTTGCAGAGATCTTCCCAGTGACTGAGACATGTAGTTCTTAAAAGGGCAGTGGCCCAGAAATAGGGTCTCCCCACTGGGAATAAGAAATCTGGGTTAGAGCAATTGTGGGAGATGGAGCTCAGGGCCAAGATTTCCCTTGCTGTATTTCAATTCACCACATCCCACTTCCACCCACACCTACCCCTCCAGATTTCAATCTCTTAGGCCACATCCTACTATTCAAAGCTTGGGGAGATGAGAAAATGAGACAGAAGAGGAAAGCACAGTCCTTTCTCTCACAAAGCTGACAGTCCAGTATCTGTCTTTGCTTTTCTGGTTTCATCTCAAGGTCCTAGATGAACGGTTAGATGGGCTTCTGAGTTATCCTAAAGAGATATAGTAACAATAAAGATGGTAAAACATCAATTTCACAATCATTGTGTTATTTGATTGTCACAAAAGCCCTGGGAAGTTGGTAAGACAGGCCCCAAAATGAAAGAATTAAAAGAAAATGGCCCAAGGTCATGCAGCAAGTTCATAGAGTTTGAACCCACATTTGCTGATTGACAATCCATTCCCCTCTCTGCTATCCTGGGCCCAAGAGAATAGGTTCAGATGATACCTAAGACTGGGCCTGACTTATTTGCAATCAAACCATGAATGAAAAGGAACCTTTTTCCAGGCACCAAAGGACAAAATCTAAGAGTCTGGGCCAAAGTAGGACATAGCTCCACCTAAGCAAAAAAGAAGCGGAACTAGAGAGACTGGCTTTCCAAAAAAAAAGGGGGGGGGGAATTATAATAAAAAAAAAACAAGCAAAACATTAGTAATTACCATATACTTGAATGTTTAAGCTTATTTATTTTTTACATCTGCGTTGGTTGTGTTGTAAGTGGGTCATTCCCAATCCTGGAGGTACATTTTGTTTTCTCTAAAAATAAATAATAAGATCTGCCAAATGAATTAATATATGTGTAAGTATGTAATTAAAGCCTTTGGGGTTTTGTGCATAATAAAAGATTTTTGTGGTTTAACCTGCATTCGACAAGACTCAGTTCCCTTCTGAACCAATGTGACTGTTCCTACCTGTCAGGCACCTGGTTTGAGAGGACATTAGGACACATGGAGTACATCCAATCCTTGGGGCTGCTCAGTCTTCTTCATCAGACTGACCTGGTTTGACCTCGCATACTAGAACTCCCTCTATATCAAGCGGCAAGGTCAGTTTGAACTGCTGACAAGTCTGAATTGCAGAATTTTTTTCAATTTTACAGAAATGAAGCTTGTTCCTTTTCAAACACATGAAGAAACCAGAGCTATCTTGGTAGAGCTTCTTAAAAGATCTGCTTTAATGAACAGATGAGGAATGTATTCATGTATTAATTGTATCAGATGGGTGCTTGAAACATTCCCTTAAATGGGTTCTATAATGCTGTAATTTTGTTGCCTATGTTAATTTACTTAGTAAGTCATGTATTTATTGAAGCAACACAAAGGAAATTTTAGTTTTTCCCTTGCCTGTAAAAAACGCCAAATTCTGAATTGATGAATATTTAGTGTATTAGGAGCAGCATGGAACAAAACTGAGGACCGGAACTTATAAAAGGGAAGAAGTTATCATTTTATGAGGTTCTGATAGCCCCTGGGAGAAGCAATTTAATGAGATAATTTGATTCTGAAGTTGCAGGAAGACCCATATCCACTATTAACTACCAGTGTTCAAGGTAGTATGAGTTTATAGGGCCTCCCTAATAGTTATCATTAAAATCCAAGCAATTTATGTAGTGACCTTAGTTGGAACTCTTTTGTTATCCAACCCTATAGTAGCCAAGAGTCTGCCTTAACTTTATCAGTTCATCCTATAGGTGTATTAGCAGATAAAGAACAGCACACTGGAGATCAGGAGATACTTGGGTTCTAGACTTACGCACAGATAACTTTACTGTATTGGGAAAATCACTTCTCAGTTAACTCATCTGTAAAATGGGGATGATACTAATTTCCAAAGGATTCCTTGAGAAATAAAAAAAAATTTTGAGGAATAGATGCAAAAATAAAAGCTCTGAGTGGTAAGGAAAGCTATACCAATGTACTCTTTTTTTTAAGCAGCATCATTTATGAAATTTATTTTCTTACAATTATGTATCTCTCTGGACAGATAGCCTTTACCTTACTGCACTAATAGTACATCCGCAATACCAAGCTACAAGACATTTTAACGAGAGTTTGTATTCTTCAACATAGCTCTTGTATACCAGGCACTCTGGAGAGGCTAGGGATGGGGAAGCTACCAGTTTCCCCTAACGGGATCTTCTGGGAAGAGGGAAAGGATGCCTTTGTAACAGAACTCCCAGGAAGGGCAACATGCAAAGCTCACAAAAGAACTCTAGGGAAGAACTGGGAGGGCATGTTAAAAAGCTGACAAACCCAATGCACCCTGCAGCTCAGCTCCACTTGTTCTGGAAATTTAACTCTGATGGAAGCAGGGCCTTATCTCTGAAGTCACCCTGGCCTAATTGTGTGCTTTAAAGTGGTGGGTGAGCTACAGTTGTCAGAATTAGCAATTAAAAATATGTCATATACTGACTAAGGTGGATTCTATCCTGTGCCACAGAACATAGGTGGGAAATGAAAGCCATGTATGTCCCAGTGATTTGTGCCAGATCAAGGGCTAGGGCTGCTTTGGTGGCAGTCCCAAATCGAGCTTGGATCTGAAGCTGCTTATTAGGCACAGAGGTCCCTTGGACTACACTCACAGTGTGAACAAATAGAAAACTCTGGTGTTTGGTCACCATTGGTCAAAGCTGTAATGAGACAGTACAGTAGAAGCAGAGTGAAGGGGACCCCTGGGTTGAATGGGGGAGGACCACAGGAATGCTCTGAGGGGCAACACGCAGTGATTGAAACATGATTGGGCTCTCCTTGCAGATGGAGATTCTAGGTGGGGTGGGGAGGCTGGCAGGGACAAGGTTCTGGGAAAATTGCTAGCCCCTGGAGCTCCCTTTATTCCCTATTTGATGTACATTCAGGACAAACTGATCTTATACTCCAAAGAACATTCTAGACACAGGGGTGGAAAGAGCAAGGGAAAGCAGTGATTTGGTATGGAGTGCTGCACCAAGTTAGGCCTTCATGAGGGCAGGTGCCACAGCTTTGGCATTAAGGCCACACAGGTAACTATAAGGCTGGCCAGTCCCAACAAAGACAATGAGTTTGCTTGTGATGTATGTCATAGAAATGGCAATACCCATCTTGTCATCAGTGGTATCGGATTTGGTCAGAACAATGACATCAATGAGCCGGGGTGTTTGAACCATAGAATGATCAACCAGAACTTTGTTGGATTTTACCAGCTGATTCACAACCTCATTTCCCACCAACACCTCCCCAACAAACATCACCGTGTGAGGCGTGTTGACAGGAATGAGTTTAGCCAGAGTATACCAGTGTGGACAGCTAAGTGGCCCAGTAATTAGAATACTGGGCTTGGAATCAGGAAGACTCATCTTAATAAGTTCAAATCTAGCCTTAGACACTCACTAGCTGTGTGACCTGGGCAAGTCATTTAACCTTGTTTGCCTCGGTTCTTCATCTGTAAAACTCATTTGGGGTTTTCTTGGCAAAGATACTGAAGTGGTTTGCCATTTTCTTCTCTAGCTCATATTACAGATAAGGCAGACAGGGTTAAGTGACTTGCCCAGAGTCACACAGCTAGTAAGTGTCTGAGCCTAGTTGAATTCAGGTCCTCCTGACTCTAGGCCTAGCACTCTATCCACTGTGCCACCTACCTGCCCACCTTACACCATGCTGCTTCTCAAAAACCTGAGACTTGCCTACGCTTACCCAGCTAGAAAATGGACTCATAGTATACCACTCCATTCACTGTGCCCGTCCAGACTGTTTAAGTCTGGGAGAAACTAACACTGTTTTTATCAGAAAGCTTGGTCACATCTTACTCCAACAGATGAGAAACCAACATGAGGTCTCATCCAGAGGATGTGGGGAATAGAGAAGGACCTGCCCCAGGTTTTATTACCAAACCTCTATTGAGCATCTACTATATTTAGTGGACTTTGAAGGAAATAATGATAAGGTGGGGGAAAGGACTAATTAAGAAAAATGTATAGGAAGGGTCAGGACTTTAAAAAAAAAAAAAAAAGGTTCCATGGTCTCCAGTCCCCAGGCCGAGTGGGAGAGAACATTTCTGGGCCAAAGGTTTGCCCTTCCTCTCTGGTTCCCAGAGCAGGACAGTGTGAAGTACTGAAAAAGCTGGGCAGGGGCTGCAAATAGGACAAAGAACTGTGCCCTTCCGGGCTCCTTCTCCCAACCCCAGAATGGTACCTACTGGGGATTCAGAAGAAGGGGTGCCCTGATTAATATTCATGAGATCTCATTCATAATTTGGCAAGTCAGTCATCTCTTCCTTCAGTGCATGATCTTTCCCTTTACAACTGTGGAAGGCCAGGCTGGGCTGCTACTTCTGCTACTCCTGCCCCCTCCCCCCAATACTGAAAGAGGTTTGGAGGGTGGAGGAGAATCTGCCACTTGACAAGGCAGGAGGATGAAGAGTCAGAGAAGCAGCTGGCCCCACTAAAGTAGTGGGCTCTGCCTTTTGACCAAAGAACTGTGGGCCAGGGCTCTGAATCTTCTACCAATTTAGAATATTTCAGGAACTTGGTAACAGCTCAGGGCCTGGGTTGCTGCAGATCAACTAGACGTTGAACAAGGAGATGATAATAGGAAGGATTAATGAAACTCCTGTCTTTGATGGAAGTAACTAGATCATGCTGCCCTATAAAAAGGATGATGGAGGGCGGAGTCAAGATGGTGGAGTAAAAGCAGTGACTTGTTTGAACTCTCCCCCAAACCCCTCCAAATACTTGTTAAAAAATGGCTCTAAACAAATTCTAGAGCAGCAGAACCCACAAAAAGACAGAGTGAAACAAATTGCCAGCCCAAGACAACCTGGATGGTTGATTGGAAAGGTCTATCGTGCTGGGCTGGGAGAGGAAAGCAGTTCAGCATGGGTTCGAGCACAGGCAAAGATCAGGCCTCAGCAAACCTGGAGCAGGCCTCAGGGGACTGAATCACAGGCAACTGTGGCAGTTTCCAGACTTCTCAACCCACAAATGCCAAAGACAACTTAGAAGGTCAGTAGGAAAAGTCTGTGACCACGATGAGAGAGAAGCTCTGTCCTAACCCCAATCCCGGCATGGCCCTGGGATTATATTATATGTACACATAAAATATATTAATATAATATATTAATTAATATAATATATATTAAATTACATGTATAGATAGAGGGTACGGGGTGAGTTGAAGATGAAGGGGTGATATCTGGAGAATAAAATTAAGGGGTGAGAGGATTATACTGGGAGAAGGAGAAAGGGAGAGGTAGAATGGGGTAAATTATCTCACATAAAACAGACAAGAAAAGACTTTTACAAACTGGAGGGGAAGTGGGGGAAGGTGAGAAGAAATGAGTGAATCTTATTGGATTTAGCTTAAGGATTTACACTCAATTGGGTATGGAAATCTATCTTACCCTACAGGAAAATAGTGGGGAAGGGGATGGGGGGAATGATAGAGGGGAGAGCAGATTGGGGGGAGGGCATAATCAGAAGCAACCACTTCTGAGGAGGGACAGGGTCAAAAGATGGAATAGAATAAACAGGTGACAGGATAGGATGAAGGGAAATATAGTTAGTTTTTCATAACATGACTACTATGTAAGTGTTTTGCATGACTACACATGTATAACCTGTGTCGAGTTGCTTGCCTTCTCAATGAGGGTGGGTGGGGAGGGAGGAAGGGAGAAAATTTGGAACCCAAAGTTTTAAAAACAAATGTTAAAAATTGTTTTCACATGCAACTGGGAAATAAGATACAGGCAATGGGGTATAGAAATCTATCCTGCCCTACAGGAAAATAGAAGAGGAAGGGGATAAGGGAAGGGATGGGGGGAGATAGAAGGGAAGGCAGATTAGGGGAAGGGGTCTTCAGAATGCATGCAGTATTGGGGTGAGGGGAG